TGTAAAAGGAATGAATAGCTATGCCTTCCATAATGTGTGAAAAGAAACCACTGTGGTCCAGCTGTTCATCAATTAGATCATTGGGATTCTATCAATAAACTTTCTTCAAAGAGCCATATTTGATCATGACTTCATTATTCAACATTCAAGTGTAAGAATTATAAAGCTGTAATTTTTTTTTTTTTTTTCCTTTTTTATTGCTATTTTAATCTAGCTCTGTCTACAATCCCAAGCAATACATCAGATGTATTGTCAGTGGGACTTTACACACAGCTAAGGAACAATAATACAATAAGTACATAGCAATAAAACAAATATAAACCATTTACTCGTGTGTTTTCTTGTTTTGGCCTCTTGCACAAAGGTGTCCTAAGTATAAATGAGAAGATACAGTACTAGCAATGAAGAATTTTACTCGTCTATACACTTACACACCTTTACTCGCCTATACACAATATTACTCAGGTCTTTACACACAGTCTTTGGCCCCTTGCACATGGGCGTCACAAATGCCTCAGTACACATCAGTAATTTGACGCCCGCGTGCAAGGGGCCTTAGATCGAAGAGGTTATTTTCCACCCTAAACTTTAGCCAGTGGGCAGGTAGGTTAAATTTTCCATCACAACTGGCTTTTATTATCTCACAGGAATTTTGCTATGGACCCCCATCTAATGCTGAATTTTACTGGACCATGCACACCAGATGGCTGAAAAAATGAGAGTTTGAGAGTTACGATCCTTTGCTATGATAAGTGTTTTTTCCTAAATATTGCTCTCGGCTCATTTTTCACTTTAACTACTTGGTGCCCGCTGTGATTCTACACAGCAGGAGCCTATCAGCAAGTCCCAGCCAATGATTCATGGCTGGGACCTGCTGATTGGCTGTGTACAATCACAGCCCAGAGCTCTGTGTTGATGATAATCAACACAGAGCTCTGTACAGAGGGAATGATCTGTTTCTCATCCCTGCAAAGTAAGGATCAGAAACTAAGAAGATTAGTAAAAAGCAACACATAGTAATACACCCATTTAGGAACACATTAAACCACTTGATTGCTCTAGATGTTAACCCCTTCCCAGACAGTGTCAGTCTAGAGACAGTGTATATTATTATCCCTAATCATTATATTAATATCACTGGTAATTTCAGTGGCAGTTAGTTCCCCCCAGCATTAGTTAAGGTCAGATTGGCTGCCGCACTATCGCAGTCCCATTATAAGTCACTGATCAACGCCATTAGTAGCATTAAAAAAAAAAAAATCCAGTATACATTTATTTGTTACAGGTACTTATATAGCGCCATCAATTTATGCAGAACTTATATATATATATATATATATATATATATATATATATATATATTGTACTTCACATCAGTCTTTAACCCTCAAGGGGTGTACAATCTGAGGTCCCAAACTATACCATTGTTTGTAGGCGCGATCACTTTGAGGCTAACCAATCAATACACACTTACTGGGATTTTTGGTTTATCCAAGACAAGAAGCAGAATATATTTTGCCCACAATTTATGAAGAAATTTAGATTATTTTTTTTTTTGATGGATATGTTTTATAGCAGAAAATGAAAAATGTTTTTCAAAATTTTCGTTTTTTTTTTTTTTTCATTTATAGCGCAAACAATTTTGAAAAACAGTAGTGATCGAATAGCACCAAAAGAAAGCTCTTTGAGAAAATTTTTTTTTTTTAGTTTGGTTACAGTGTTGCATGACCACGCAATTACCAGTTAAAGTAGCACAATGCTGTATAGCAAAAAAAAATGGCCTGGCCATTAAGGGGATAAAATCTTACAAAGCACAAGTGTTTTATAATCCGTGTACACTAGAAAACGCCAAACACTCCTAAATGCTGCATTTATTTGCATTTAGGAGTGTTTATGAGCATTCAGGTGTTTTTTTAAGATCAAAAACTACTCTTCAGAACGGGACTTTTGCAGGGGTTTTTTTCTGCTTCTAAATTCCCCTGCCACTAAACTGAAAATGCCTATAGTGTGCATGGACACATAGGCTAACATAGAGGGGAGTTTGGAGGCAGAGAAGAAAAAAAAAAAAAACTCAAATGGCTGTAGAAGCAGCTTTTTTGTCCTGCAGTATGCATGAGCCCAAAAGTTCACCTTCTTCTTTCTGGGTTACCGAGATTGCCACTGGAGGAATGAGACATGTTCAGGGGCGGACTGACAACTCATGGGGCCCCCAGGCAATAGGGGATCATGGGGCCCCTGTGTCCTTGCCCAAACTCAAAAAAGCCTATGAAAAAGGTACCAGGGGCATCTCATGGGGAACCCTACTGACCCCGGGCCCTCGGACAGTGCCCGAATTTCCAAAGGGTCAGTCCGCCCCTGGACCTGTTAACAGGAATGTGCATAGCTGATACTTCAAGTGATACTAAGGGATCATGCACACTGCAGCGAGCTCTCTCTCTCAATCAAAACGGCTTCAGAAACTAATTTTGCAATGCAATTGTCATTTGGGAGTGTTTGTGGAAAAAACACTTATGTGCAAAAACGTGTGTTTTTAGCAGGAGCTTCTTTAAGATCATTTTTGGGGGTTTCATTTGAGCTGCAGTGTGAATGAGCCCTTAAGGTTCAGATGTTGTCTTTTAAAAATAACAAACATATCCTACATACCTGCTGTATGCAATGGCATAGAATGCATGAAGGGAAAAGCCCTTCAGCCTTTAGAACCACTTTTAGTGGAGAGGTCTTGCCTCTGAGGTGCGAGTTAGCCCATCAACAACCTTCATAAGATCCTAATTTAATGGATGTGCTGACTCTTTAAGATAACATACTAAATGGGGTGCTATAAAGGGGATGAGGACAGAAATGTGAAGGGGGGCTGAGGATTGCACTGTGAAGGAGGGTTCTATAAATGGGGTGTTGGCAGGAATGTGAAGGAGGTTTGGGGACTGCAGTGTGAAGGAGGGGTGCTATAAAGGGGGTGAGAACAGGAAGGGGGATGATATGAAGGGGGGCTGGGAAAGGCAATTTGGGGGGGGGGGGGTGATATAAAGGGGGCCGAGGACAAGAATGTGTAGGAGGACTAAGGACTGTAATGTGAAGGGAGGAATGAGGGGAAATGAGAACACTGATGTAATAACAGGACTGTGATGTGAAGGATCAGAGTCTAGGTTCCTTATACACAGAAACTCAGAGAAAGAAGTCCCTGATCCTGGGGCGGACTGACCATTTGGAAACTCGGGCACTGCCCGAGGGCCCGGGGTCAGTAGGGGGCCTCATGAGATGCCCCTGGTACCTTTTTCATTGGCTTTTTTGAGTTTGGGCAAGGACACAGGGGCCCCATGATCCCCTATTGCCCTGGGGCCCCATGAGTTGTCAGTCCCCCCCTGCCCTGAACCTTTTTTTTTAAATGGCACTGCCCGAGGGCCCGGGGTCAGTAGGGGGCCCCATGAGATGCCCCTGGTACCTTTTTTATTGGCTTTTTTGAGTTTGGGCAAGGACACAGGGGCCCCATGATCCCCTATTGCCCTGGGGCCCCATGAGTTGTCAGTCCCCCCCTGCCCTGAACCTTTTTTTTTTTTTTTTTTAAATGGCTCCATACTGAGCTGCATTGTACTATGGCACCAAACATGCCGTGAGGTGCCTTTAAGAATCAAACATGTGATTCGGACCTCTGCTGGAAGGACATTTTACTGACTGGACCTTTGTGAATTTTAATTCAATACCTCTGCTATAGATCATATAACTACTGATGTTTCTGTGGTTAATGTCTGAGCTAAAGCATTTCCTCTCTCAATGACTTTTATTCAGATAATTCTCCGGTGTACTTTGTTACATACTGCAAATATCCAATAACCTCACGTACTGGGAAAGTTAGGTTTAATTTATTGAAAGCTTGTTTAAACCCAAAAACTAAAACTGGAATACTGGAGCTTAGCAGTTCTTAAATGTGATGGTTGCATTTCAGCCTTTTTCTCTACAACTTCGTATGCTGATCCTGCCATAAACACATTTCTTGTCCTAGGGCAACAGTGTTTGCACACTGTACTGTATCTTTGTACAATGGTGCAAAAACTGTGATGTGTCTTCATTCATAGCAACCAGTTTGTAAACTGCCCTTTTGAAACATTATATAAGGTTAGCTTGGTATTACTCATTTGACCTTGTTTCTCTTTATCTGCTTGTCTTGTTCTAAAAGGAAATTAAAAGATTTGTTGGCCTTCAGTAAACCATCAGGGTTACTTCATTTTTTATCATACAGTAGAACAAATGGACTTTTCAGTATCTTTACAAGTCCGCAGTTATAAAACTCTTGACCTGCTTCAATATTGAAGAACTGGATGAAAAAAAAGAAAAACTTTACCTTTTTGTATTTTTTTTCAAAAATTAGTCAGTGAGCTCCAGTCAAGTGGCTTTGCATAGGCTGAAGTCATCAGTTTGCTATAGGCAGGAGGAAGCATTTCCTCAGTCTTCTCACCTCCAGTGATCATACTACTGCATTGTAATTTTGTAGTAAGCAACATTAGAGACTGCAACAGGGAGGCTGATCTGTGTCAGACGTTTGTGAACACTGCAAAGACAAGAACATTTACATGACTAATGCATCTGAGTCATCCTCTCATGTAGGTACTGACTGTGAGAAATTGGCTTTATCCCAGAATGGAATGATCCATCTGGAGATAGTAAGGCAAATGAAACGGAGCATTGAGGTTGACGGTGGTACTGGTAGGAGTACTGTTAAATTCTGAGAAATGCTTGAATAAAGATGGAATGAACCATCTGGAGATAGAGGCAAATGAAGGCATTGGTGGAGGTGGTACTGTAGGTACTGTAAATTCTGAGAGGCAAATGAGTACCTTTTACAAGTGCTATTACTTGGCATGGATGAATTTATCATGAAAAGTTTTATCGTATGCTAGGTCATCTTTAGTCGTAATATTTGTTTGCAGGTTCTGTATAAAATGCAGTTGTTTCATTTTTAAAGTATGAGCAACACAACGTAACAAGTTTATTGTTTTTTGTCTTGTAGATTGCCTTCATGACGGTGACTCTCTTTCCCATCCGTCTGTTTTTTGCTGCTTTTATGATGCTCCTTGCCTGGCCTTTTGCTTTTATTGCTGCTATGGGTCGCACAGGGAAAGAACTTGAGATGCCTATGTCCTGGTGGAGAAAGTAAGTGCAATTTTAACAAGTTTCATATGTTGGGTAATTTTCTTTAAACAGATGTTTCTGCACACTCATTTTACTTATGTTGTGTGGCTTGCACAAGCAGCAGCTATATGTGTTCTGTTCATAGTCTGTGCTAGGAGCTGCTGTCAGTCATGTGTGGGGGAGTGGCGGCTATACGGGGAGGGCGGGCAGTGTAGTACATATGGCAACCAGGAAGGTGTTCTTTCTCCGGGGAGCTGCTATCAGTCGTGGGCGATCAGTCGTGGGCGATCAGTCATGGGCGATCAGTCATGGGCAGGAGTGTAGCAGCAACGCATAGTTCAAGTGGGTGGTCAGTGTATTACAACACACAGCAAGGAAGTACATTCACTACCTGTGTTCCAGAAAGCCTGTCTGCTATTGCGTTCCTGCTAGAAGCTGCTGTCAGTAATGGGGGTGGGAGGTGAGCATGGTTGCTAAAAAAATAAACAAGACAGAAGTTAGACATGTGCGTAGGTATGGCATCCTTTACCCTCAATAAAAAGAATTGGAATGTATTCTGACCACGCCAGCATGAATCTGCTTCTGTGCCTGCTGTGTGGTCAGGTTGTAAAAGGGAAGAGGGGGGAGCAAGAGAAATTTCCCAGTGAAATAAAAAAAGTACAGACTACAGCTAATAAAACATCTATTTGGATACTCAGACATGCACATGAGATTATGTTTTAGGTAATCTATACTTTAAATGTTTATGTATCTATAGAAGTGCATGGTGTGCTTTATACTACATGTTGACTTTAAAATGATGTATTCAGCCTCTCTTTGCTGCTTAAAGCGGAGCTCCAGTCAGAACATATAAACTGTAACTGCTGACTTTTAAAAAACAGACACTCACCTGTCCCTTGATCCAGTGGTGTGCTCTCACCGCAGCCAGTTTCACTGGCCATCCTCTCTCCCTGGTGCCGGCATCTTTAAGTATGGTCACCCGGCTGTGACAGCTCACAGCTTCACAGCTGGGTGGCCACTGGGCATGCTCAAGTAGCGTTGCACCTTGTGAGTGGTCCCATAGTCTTCTGGGACCTGTCCCATGTCCCAGAAGATTGCGGGGAAGGAGAGACCACTTCCGCTTCCGATCGCCTAGGCAGTCGCAGCAAAAGTGGGAGCGGGTACCTATCAAAATCAAGCACCCGTTTCCCCAAGGTGCCAATCGTTAATGTGGAGCGGGGGATGAGGCCTTAAAGCGGAACTTCCTCTTTTGGGCAGCGTGCCGCTTTAACATAGTGATTTTAATCGCTTGGTACTGAGAGATTTACCACTTTACTGCCTATATAGCAGCAGCTGTAAAAATCAAACAAGAATAGAGCATTGTGCAATCATGAGAGATTGATTGCAAATACAAGACAATTGTGTAGTTCACTCAATAGGAAGACATTGTTTCCATTTATTTAATAATCAGCTTCTACACCTAGTGGTTCTTGGCTAATGCTTGAATTATAGGATTGAACTATTAAAAATCTTTTATGTAGATTTAGTTTATTTAGGTGACTGCCAGCCAGTGGTTAAATCTTTTAGTCGCAAGATATTAATATCGCCCATGTAGTTCAGTCCTTGGGCTTCCGAATTATAGTGCTTTGCACCACAGTTCACCTTTGCTCCACTGAAATGTCGCTCAAAACTGGAAAAAAAAAAAAACCTTGGAAAAGTCCATTGGAATGACTCATTGTTGACTATGTGTAATATGCTAGTCAGTGCTCCCAGCCATGGCCTCCTTTTCCAATGTATATATAAGAAATGTGTGTGTATGTAGATCCAGCAAACTGCTTTGAAACGTTTTGTTTATGAATGCAGGGAATTGTGGAATCGCCCTGTTCTAGTTACATAATCCCATCCTTGGTATCAGGAAGGCTTCATTAATGCTAATCCTTCAATTTAATGAAGCCTTCTGATACCAAGGATAGGATTATATAACTAGAACAGGGTGGTTCCACAATTTTAACACCTCCCACCCTGTCCTTAGACACTAGCATCTACTTCTCAATGGTAATTGGATCAAAGCATCAGGGCTACCATTGTGAATATACAGTGCCTTGAAAAAGTAATCGTACCTCTTGAAATCTTTGTCATGTTACAACCAAAAATGTAAATGTATTTTATCTGGATTTTATGTGATAGACCAACACAAAGTCCCACATAATTGTGAAGTGGAAGGAAAATGATAAATGGTTTTCACAATTTTTTACAAATAAACATTTGAAAAGTGTGGCGTGCACTTGTATTCAGCCCCCGAATCAGTACTTTTTAGAACCACCTTTCACTGCAATTACAGGTACAAGTCTTTTTGGTGATGTCTCTCCAAGCTTTGCACATAAGGAGAGTGAAATGTTTGCCCATTCTTCTTTGCAAAATAGCTCAAGCTCTTTCATTTCGATGGAGAGCGTCAATTTTCAAGTCTTGCCACAGATTTTCAGTTGGACTTGGGTCCGAACTTTGACTGGGCCATTCTAACACATGAATAGTCTTTGATCTAAACCATTCCATTGTAGCTCTGGCTGTATGTTTAGGGTCGTTGTCCTGCTGAAAGGTGGACCTCCGCACTAATTTAAAAGTTTTTGGCAGACCCTAACAGGTTTTCTTCTAAGATTGCCCTGTATTTGGCTCCACCCATCTTCCCCCAACTCTGACCAGCTTCCCTGTCCCTGCTGAAGAAAAGCATCCCCACAACATGATGCTGCCACCACCATATTTCACGGTGCGGGTGGGGTGTGTTCAGGGTGATGTGCAGTGTTAGTTTTCTGCTACACATATAGTTTTGCTTTTAGGCCAAAAAGTAAAATTTTCGGACTCAGCTGCCCAGTGCACCTTCTTCCATATGTTTACTGTGTCCCCCACATGGCTTCTTGCAAAACGCAAATAGGAATTCTTATGGCTTTCTACTTGCCGCTCTTCCATAAAGACCAGATTTGTGGAGTGCGTGATTAATAGTTGTCCTGTAGACAGATTTTACCACCTGAGATGTGGATCTCTGCAGCTCCTCCAGAGTTACCATTGGCCTCTTGGCTGCTTCCCTGATTAACCACATGCCGCCCAGCCACTGTAGAAATGGCAGGGCGGCACGGCTGGGCAAAACCACGTTTTAAAATGTGTGTTTGCAAAAAAGGTAGGGGGCGCGCACGAGGCACGCCACCGCCCTACCTGTCCCGCCGATCACAGCCGCGAATGTCAGTCGCCGGGTCACAGCCAGTCGTTACCGGCTGTGTCCCGCTGTTTAGCGGCAATCACTGACAGAGAGCAGGGCTGCAGTAGCTCTGCTTTCTGTCAGTTCCTGACATGCTGAGCCGGAGAGAAGAGTTTATCTCTCCCAATCAGCTGTCCCTGTGCAGTACACACCCCCGCCCCCTAGTAAAACACTCCCCTCACACAGTTAACCCTTTCAGTAAATGAAAAAGTTAACCCCTTCTTCCCCAGTGCCATTAGTACAGTGTCAGTGTTTTTTTTTTTTTTTTTTGCACTGATCACTGTATTGATGTCACTGGGGATGTCAGTGACCCCAAGTCAGTTCCACCCCAGTGTCAGAATGTCCGCCATAGTCCCGCCATAAGTCGCTGATCGCCCACCATAAGTTACTGATCGCCGCCATAAGTCGCTGATCGCCGCCATTATTAGTATAAAAAAAAAATTTAAAATCCCAGTATCTTTACTGCCATTTGTAAATGCTATAACTTTCACATAAACCAGTTAATTTACACGTATTGGAGTTTTTTTTTAGCAAAGACATGTCGCAGAATATATTTTGGCCGAAATTTGCCGAAATTTGATTTTTACTTTTTTTTTACTGGACATGTTTTATAGCAAAAAGTACAAAATATTGTTTTTCTCAAAATTGGCAGCCTTTTTTTTTTTTATAGCGCAAAAAATAAAAAACGCACAGGCGATCAAATACCACCGAAATAAAGCTCTATTTGTGTGAAAAGGAGGACATAAATTTCATTTATGTACCATATTGCATGACCGCACAATTGTCCGTTAAACTAGCGCAGCGCTATATAGCAAAAAAATTGCGTAAATTGCAGTATCTATACCATAGTTTGTAGACGCTATAACTCTCACACAAAGCAATCAATATACACTTATTGAGATTTTTTTTACCAAAAACATGTAGCAGAATACATTTTGGCCTAAATTTATAACTAACTTTGAGTTCACTATATATTTTTTTTATAGCTGAAAGTAAAAAATATCGTTTTTCTTCAAAATTTTTGGTCTTTTTTTGTTTATAGTGTGAAAAATAAAAAGCACACAGGTGATCAAATACCACCGAAAGAAAGCTCTATTTGTGTGAAAAAAAGGACGTAAATTTTGTTTGGGTGCAGCATTGCATGACCGCGCAATTATCAGTTGAATTAGTGCAGCGCAGAGTAGTAAAAAGAGGTCTGGTCATTAAGGGGGGTAAATCCTCAGGAGGGCAAGTGGTTAATGCTCTCCTTGCCTGGCCCGTAAGTTTAGGTGGAGGCCATGTCTTGGTAGGTTTGCAGTTGTGCCATACTCTTTCCATTTTCAGATAATGGATTGAACAGTGCTCCCTGAGACGTTCAAAGCTTGGGATATGCGCAACAAGGCAGGTTGAGGGGCCCCAGGTAGTTTGTGTAATGTGGAGGAAACTGGCTTTTCAGTTTCCTCATTGTTTCATATAGTCTATTTTGGGACTTGGAACCTTGAGATTTCAAAGTGATTTGGGAGGGATGAAATATCCAATGGACCAGGTTTTAGGAACAGTTGCAGCCAGCCAGGTGGGTTCTGGGATTTTTGTAGAGACAGGACCAGGGTTCTGGGCTCCACCCTCCCGAGGAATTCAGGTGTGTGCAAGGAAGAAGCCAGAGGGGTGCATCTGTGCACTGGAAAGGACAGAGTCCCAAGCCTGAGGACCAGAGCAGCAAGGGGCTGCAACTGTGTGGACGTGTTGGCGAGGAAGTGGTCTGTGGGAAACCTATAGTGAAAGGTCTTAGCAGAACTGCTGTATGTGTGAGCCA